GCGAGATGGAATAAAAAAAAGGGTTAAATGAGTGTGTCCTGCTCCATTACAGCTTTGTGCTATAATAGAATAGATTTACAGAATAGAATACATTTTAGAGGAAAAATTAAAAAAGTTTAGTTTATTTTTCTCTTATTTGGTTTTGAGTAAAAGCTAAAGTGAGGCTTTGTAGATGCATATTCTCTGTGTAGTGTGGTTCAGCGTGTGGTTTAGGCCATCTAAACCAAAACTTCACCTTACAACAAAGCGTCCATCCGTTTCAGTACTTCTAAAATAATTTGAGTCATATAATCAACAAGCAGAATCTACTAGGTTCACCTCCACCTCTTTTCCAAGGTCAGCTCTGATAGGCTCCCTGTGCTCATAGTTGGATAAGCTGCTTAAGATTGTGGATTAAACCTATTTATACTATTTATACATACATATTGTTATTAGAGCAAAACCAGTTGAAGTGCTTTGGTTTTTAACATTACCCCTGTACTTCACATACCTCTGAAGCATGGAGGGTAAGTAGCCTTGTGAAATGTTTGCATTTATTTAGGCTCATCTAACACAGATGGTAGATTTAAATTCTTGTCTTGCTGTTTATGTTTTACTGCCACTTTGCTAAGAGTCCCTAAGCGCTGATATCAAGTCTCAAATAACATCACCCAGTAAAATGCATGAATTCTTTTCCCAGCAGCATTGTGTATATAGATAAATGCTTTGTTTTAAAATAAATATTATTTTCCATTTATGACTTTTTTCCTTTGAAGAAATTATTTTATATAACTTTCTTTTATCTATTTTATCAGCATATAATATATAATATAATATATTGACAAATAATTCAACCTTACTGTATATGTTGTTACATATATTAAGGTATATTTGTATATAAATGATAATGAATATGGGTAATTCTATTTGACTATCAAAGATCCAAATTTGCAGATCATCAGCAATCCTGTTGCTTGTTGCCACGGGGATATTAATAGTTCACAGAAGACATATTTTTACACTCCAGCCTCTTTAATGCTTTCCTTTTACAGGCCAGCATGTTGAAGTTCTTGTGCTCCCTGTATTTCACTGGTTTTACTGTCAGCATGGAGCATACTGTAATACTTTGATCCCTGGGTTTCTCATTCAATTCCTGCTAACCTTTCTGTACAGGAATGTATTACATTGACCCCAACCAGGGCAGTCCTGCCGATGCCCTGTTGGCTTACTGCAGCTTCTCTTCCACATCAAAACAGACCTGCCTTCATCCTCAAGACTCTCAGGTATAAAGACATCAGCAGAGAAAGTCTGCAGGAAATTGTACCTCTGAATCAAGGACATGGCCACTATCATTTAATGTATTGGTATTGGTAGGTGAATCGTCATTCACCTCATGCTTCTGCAATAGTGACTTTAACTTGAACCTGTATCTTTGTCTCTAAACAGGAAATTTCTTTTGCACTTTTACACTTTTTCTCCTTTTTTCAACTTAAGTGTGAACAGTTATGAAGCTATGAGTGGGAATAACATAGTAATAAGCACTTAAAAATGTTTGATTTGCTAATTTCACTGCTGAGATCTTCTGTACCCTAGAAATGATCAGATTTGACAATTCCAAAATTTCTTGTCTCTTATATAAAACTAAATTCAATGAGCTACATCAAATATATTAGATAAAATGTATTTAACTGAATTTGCATGTCACCCCTCATTTATTAAATGTTTCAAATTTAATCTGTTTGCATCAGTCAGAGGTATGCATGACGAAAACTAAGTTGTCTGGTTGCAGGAAGGAATGAAGCAATGCATGGCTAAATTACTTTATATTCATCTGAAGGGTATCAGGTCATGTAAAGGACAGAAACTATTATTATTCTCATTGTATTGTGTTTTCCTGGTTTCCTGGTTGGTTCAGTCTGTTTAAAACCACAAAACACACTCACCTTTCACCCTATCTACGCTAATATAGTCCAGCCTACATAAATAATTGACTCACTCAACCAAAGAGAAATGTGAATTGGTTTCGGTTAGCATGAGTCGAATACTGCTTTAGTCATGTCTGAGCAGCATGGTAATTCAGGATTTCATTAGCAACAGTCTGAAAACGTTGACTACATAAAAGTGGGACATACATTCAGTTTGGGAAATTGTGCTTTCTTTTCATCTGCCTACAGCTGCCAATGAAAGCTTGGATGGAAGACTTTTCCGAGGAAGGGTCTTTTCAGTGGCTCAGCAAGCTGGATCAGGGATTTCAGGTGAGTGAATACCTCTGAGTGGCACTGCCAAAATTAAACATTAATTCTAGGGCCTGGGTTCTGCTAGGCAAGACGTTCTTGGTGATACATTTATAAAGTTGGCTAGATAAACAAAATAGGCAAAAGTTTCTAAAGTGGGGAAAATGTACTCTCACTTTATTAGGTAAACATGTTCAACTGCTTGTTAACACAAATATCTAATTAGCCAATCATGTGGCAGCAGCTTAATGCATGTAGACATGGTCAAGACGACCTGCTAAAGTTCAAACCAAGCATCAGAACAGGGAAAGGAGACACTGCTAATGACATGGTGTCATGTATATGTAGTGGAGATGAGGACCCAAATGCACACTCACAGATCGACAGAGTTAAACAAAAAATGAGCCATTTATTTGGACTGTTGACCAAAATACAAAAGATGAAACACAAAAATACAAAAGGGAACTAAAAAAGGCTACTTACAGAAACCTAAACTGGGAATAAACACTAGGGAAAATGCCACTGAAGCTGGGAAACACAAGGCAAAAAACATCAACTGATGCTCTGTTGTGTATATATAGACGGCAACTACATATTTCTAAAAGGGTGACCGGGGGACTGGAAATAGAAAATAGGGGAAAACAAGACACAGCTAAACAGAATCAAAGCAGACGAGATAAAAGAAACAAAACTCTAGACGACAAACAAGGAACCACAACCTCCCAACAACAAACAGGAAGTGAGATAACTAAATGGGGAAAACACAGACATGACTAGACTAAATACAAGGGAAAAGACACAAGAGGATGAAACACTGGGAGAAGAGCTAAAGTCTAAAGCATGGATATCAAAATAAGGCCCTGGGGCCAGAGTCAGCCTTCTGAAGACATTCGTTGCCATCAAAGATCATTTGATGCCTTTCTTTTTGTTAAATAAAAATGTATTTTATGCTTGAGTAAATAAAACACCCTCTAAAACACTGATATTCAGTTGTTACTGGACACATATACATTGAGTTCATCGAACTTGATTTGATGAAACAGTCGCCTCCTGGCAGGGCTGGACTGGGACAAAAAATCAGCCCGGGCATTTTGACTAGAGACCAGCCCACCAGGTATTATAGGAAAAATCATAAAGCCTTTGAATGAAAACAAATGCTGTTGTCACAGTGATGTACACTGTCTTGTTGGTATATGTATGATTTCTATACATTGTACATCAGATAAAAAA